GTCCGCGAGGGAGAATATTTTATTCTGCTGAAAGATCTACATCAAAATAATCCAGTCTCCTTCATATTAGGTAAAGAATGTTGACGGACACGATGTGTGATGAGGAACTTTTAAAACCTGTACTTCGCTGTATTTCTTCAAGTGCGAGGGAAATCGGGTGAAAAGGCTATTGGTAATTGAGCTGACGTGTTGCTGTGACAAGTAAGTGTAGTGTATTTAGAAAGAGGTTGAGGATCATTTTTCTAAGTCTCGGCCGTCCTTCTGCGTTTATATACAGTACGCAGTCATTCAGCTAGTTGGGTTGGGGGTTATGGTGTTGTTGTCGCATTTTCCCCCTCAAATACAACATGTGTTCTCCAGATGTTCTAGTTTTTGTCGGTAGGTGTTCGCAGGGGATTTTTTTTCGTACAATTTTTCTCCGTGGCGGAATTGCTTCAGAGAAAAACAGGCAACTCAAAAAAATGGGCATGTGGGAGCATGCCTTTTTCGGCGAAAAATAAATTGGAAATTAGCTTAACATACACTCCTGTTCCATTTGTAAAGCCAGGCGATAAAAACGGGGATTGCAGGTTTATGAGGCAATTGGTTGAAAAGGACACAACGTGTTGGGGATTACGTGTCTGGAGACGAGATTGCTTGTTTTGCAGGCGATCACCCTGAAAATTGCCCTCTTTCCGTTCACATCTATAGACGAGATGACTTGTTTTGCAGGGAATAATTGCCCTGAAAATTGCTCTCCTTCCGTTTACGGTTTACCCCTCATATGTTTGCCGGTAATTGCCAACAGTTGTTTTCTTCGGGTTTTTATGGGGAGTTGAGCAAATTCTGTCTAACATACTCTGTCCGATATTGAAGGGAATTAAATCATCTCAACGTTTTTCCCGTGCTTCAATATACTGTTTCTCTGTATCCGAATGTCTCTTCATTTATTTCGCATTGCATGATTTCCCATTTGTGCTAGAATTTTCCAGTTCTGTCAACAGAATGAAATTTACTCCCGAAATTGTGAATTGCTTCATATTATGGGGAAAACTTGAGCACGAAAGGATCAGTCGAATTAAGATTTGCTGGTGCTTGTTCAATGAACTTTCGGTGTTGAAAGCGTTTTAAAAATTTGTTTTTTGAGAATGTGAGCTGAATCATGCAGTATCATCACTTCTGGGTTCAACGAATCTCCTTAACCCGGAAGTTTTTGCCCGTTTTACGATACTGGACGAGACTAAAACAGCTGGATGGATTCCGTCTGAGAAGAAAATGTTGAAAGGTGGAACAGATAAGAGATTTCTATCCA